TTTTTTGTTTTGTTTTGTTTTTGAGATGTGGGACTTCACTATTCTGCAGTGGAAGTACCTCACACTGGTTTGCACAGATAGGAGGAAATTTGGAAAAAGTAACCTGGAAGGTTCCTGCAGAGCTGAGACCCGTGGTTCCTGCAGACAGTTTGCCCTACATTCCCCTCCCATCTCTGTGAGAGCACACTGTGTACCCAGAAGGCTGCAGCTACACTTCTTTCCCCACATTTCTGCCTAGCTGTGAAATCTGTGCCTTCCTTCTTTCCACTCTAGTATCCAGCAAGGACTTATTAACGAATGATAGACAGACACCTACTATTGCTAACAGGAGGAACAAAAGCCTACAATTTTCATAAGACGGATCACTGAGACTGCTCTCCTATTGCATAGCCTTATCAATACCTCTACTGCCAAAGCACAGCCTGAAAGGAGCATGATTAAAGCTGTCATGTCAGCCCAGAGAAGGTGAGGCAGGGTTGTGGTAATGGTGCACCTTTGCTTCTGCTCCTTCCATGCTTTGTGTTCAGCACACTGACACGAACACAAAAGTAATCATGCACTGAAATGCTGTAAGGAGCAAACCATGTATTTCCTACGCTCAAATATTTGTTTTTATATCGATCAAAATAAATCGATTTTATCAGATAAAAAAATCAAAGTGAAGGTAGAGGAATATACTCGTTCATTGTGGTAGAATTTAAAAGTTCCAATAATTCAGGTAAAAAATCTTAGAACCACATAAGTGAAGTCAGCTTAATTATTTGTACCAAGAAACCAAGCACGATGTTGGTGCCTCCTTACCTAAATAAGTGCTTCTCCTTCCATGAATTCGGCTTCTTTTAGTACTTTACTTTACAACAGGAAGGTTTGGTCCAGCAGCATGTGTCCAGGCAGAGACTTCTGGAAGTGTCTCCAGGTGCTGCTGGAAGGGGATGTGTAGCACTTACGCTCTGCCACCAATATGCATCTGGAGAGAATCATAGAACAGTTTGGTTTGGAAGAGATATTTAAGATCACATAGTTCCAACTCCCCTGCTATAAGCAGGGACACTTCTCTCTAGACCAGGTTGTTCACAGCAGTCCAGCCTGGGCTTGAACACCTCTGGGGAGGTGTAATCCACAGCCTCCCGGGGCAACATGTTTCATTGTCTCACCACCCTCACAGTAAAGAAATTCTTCCTGATATCTAGCCTCAGTATACGCACTTCCAGTTTAAAACTGTTTCCCCTCATCCTGTCACTATTTGCCCTTATAAAAGTCGCTTTCCATCTTTCCTGTAGGCCCTCTTGAGGTTCTGGAAGGCCACTATAAGGTCCCTCTAGAATCTTCTCCAGGCTGAAGAGCCCAAGCTCCCTTAGCCTGTCCCCATGGGGGAGGTGCTCCAGCCCTTTGATCATCTTTGTGGCCCTCCTCTGGGTCCTCTCCAACAGTTCCATGACCTTCTTGCGTTGGGGACCCCAGAACTGAATATGGGTGAATCTCCCAGCTATCTTTTTTGGGGTGCCATTTGATAGAGCAGCTGCTGAAATGGAGGAAGGTTCTCCATTTCCCAACAAGGAGAGCACACGGTTGGGTACCCAGGAGCCGCCTGCACAGGGGGTGTGTGTGTCTGCACATCCCCATGTGTGCAGCTTGGGAAGCTTGCTGAGAATTGCAGGAATATTCTGCTATGGGGCTGTGGCAGCTGTCAACGGTTCTGGGATGTCTGTATGGAACTGGGGTGAGAACGGTGCCCTTGTCTCTGTGGCGCAGATGGAAGCGATAAGTCTTTGCAGACCTGCTTCAAGAGCAGCCCTGTGAAAGGAAACAGATTGCCTGGGGCCAGACATTTAAGAGGGTCTTATGCTTCTCTTTGCACTTGCAAAGTGCACGTTCTCTCTCTCAGTGAAATATTGCCCTTCCAGAACAGACTTGGATGGGGAAATGTCCTGCGGTGCACCCCCCCTCAATGAGTTGCACTGAGCTGCCAGCATGCATATAGGGCATCCTCATGCAGACAAATTCCTATCAATGGAAAGGCCACCATGCATCCAGTTTATGCTACTTATCTTCATTTTTCCACAGTTCTTTTCTGTGTTGAAAGGTTCCCTACACTCACAGTTGCTCTTCCCGAGGTCGGTGTTGGTGTGCCTGTCATCCAACCTGCTTGGCTCGGAGTTTCCGTTGAAGTTCGGATAGAAGTGCTTGGTGTTGGCATCAAGTTTGCATCAACTTCATTACAATTTCATTTAAGAAAAAAAAAAAAAAAAAGAGGTTAAAGTGTTGCATAACATAAAGTATTTCTAATTTATTTTTTTTTTTAACATTTACTTTTTGAGACAACATTCAGTTTGAGTTTCTAACAGATTAGGGTTGCATTGTATATGTTATGATGATATTAAAAAAATAAACAGAAGGAAGCTAAACTGTTTTAATCCATAGAAAATGGCTTTTCCCACAGATGCTTTGGACAGATGTTGAAATTATGTCATGGTTTAGAATGACACTGAATTCCTTTTCCTAATAAAACAATACTTTCATTTTTACATAGCAGTTACACAATTTCAGTTTGTTCACCATAGAATCATAGAATGGCCTGGGTTAAAAAGGACCACAGTGATCATCTAGTTTCAATCCCCCTACTATGCACAGGGTTGCAAACCACCAGACCAGGCTGCCCAGAGACTGGTTTACACTGAATGAAGATTGTGGTCAAAATTTAACAAAACAGGGGCTAAAAGTTCAGTTCCCAAATTCCTGTTTACATCCACAGCTACAACACTTGAGGTGTAGTTACTGAGCAGTCCCATTTTTCACCTATTTCAATAGTCCCATCCATCCCACTTGTCCAAAATAGACATCTTATGGCAGTCTATATCTACATAATTACTTCTGAATATTTTTATTTTATCTTTAATGTTAAATCCCCTTTCTGCAAATGAGAAGGAAATGATTTTCTAGAAAAAAAAAAAATCATTTCTATTTCCTCCTTAACATCTTCTTTATGGGGTGTTTTGCTTTTGATTTTAAAGTTCCTCCACGTATTTACCTTTTGTAGATCACTCCTTTCACAAGACTGATCTCTTCAACTCTTTGAAAGGGTAGATAATGGGAGGACAAGGGGAAATTGTTTTAAGATGAAGAAGGGAAGATTTAGTTTGGATATCAGGGAGAAGTTCTTTACCAAGAGAGTGGTGAGGTGCTGGATCAGCTGCCCAGAGAGGTTGTGGATGCTCTGTCCCCAGGGGTGTTCAAGGCCAGGTTGGATGGGGCCCTGGGCAGCCTGGTCTGGTATTAAACATGGAGGCTGGCAGCCCTGCCTGCAGGAGGGGTTTTGGAACTTCATGATTCTTGAGGTCCCTTCCAACCCAAGCCATTCTATGATTCTTCAGAATGATCTTCAGTGCTTTAGGTCTGACTGTGAGTGGTGCAAAACTTAGTCAGTTATTTTTATTACACAATCGGTTTTCCTCAAAGTCTGTCTTCTGGGTAGATTTTAATACATATCTAAATACCTTAATATTGTTTTCTCAAAGGAGGAAAACATTCTAACTCATTCTAGGGATTATAAAAGTAGTAATTTTCTTGCAACTGGCCCTTAATACAGCTAATAGCTCTTGGCATCACCTTAGGATGGTTAACAAGGCCATCATTAACTGTGGTTAATGAAAAAGTAATTAAACTTTTTTAAAATCTAATCCTGGATGACAAATCATTGTAAATCGTGCCCTCGGTTATTCGTGTCACTAATGTGAATAAATGAGTTTTAAGGTCTATATATGCATAAAACAAAACTCTAAGCAAACATAGCGTGAATCCTGCTGGTTGTCAATAGCTGTTTCTTTCAATCGCTTTTAAAACTTCTTAAAAAGTCCATGACTTCGGGTATAATTTTTTGAAGATTTAAGAAAAAACCTTAACATGTTCTGTGAGAATCCCAAAATCTGCTGTGGGATTATCTTCGCTCACTTGAAAGATCATCAGCCAAACTGTGGAGATTTAAAAGAGGGAGGGCAGAGGTATTGCAAATCTAGCAAGACACAGTTCAGCAAAGCAACCTTGCTAGATTTCAATTTTTATAAGCTGTCAATAGAAGCAAGAGACAGTAAATTTATATATATATATATTTTTTTTCCTGTTCTGAATGCGCCTAAGAGAACTCAATAAAGAAATAGAAATAGGATCAATACATTCTCTCTGAAAATCAGTTTAGAAGGAGCCACGATGTCTCAAGGAGGAAATGCTAACTAGTCAAAAAGCCTTTCATGAAACAAGTTAGAAACCTTCTGGTAAATCCTTTGCATGTTTCAGATACACTGGCATTAACTCATAACCCCCCAGACATTTCCCATACATGACCAGTCCTATTTATGGCTTCTAGGTCATAGAATCACAGGAACACGAAGGTTGGGACAGACCTCTCAGATACGTAAGCATAACCCCAGACCACTCCACATCCTTCAGTGCCACATCCCCATGGTTCTGGAGCACCCCCAGGGATGGTGACCCCACCACTCTCTGGGCAGCTGTGCCACTGCATCACTGCTCTTTTAGAGAATAAATGTTTCCTAATACCCAACCTGCTGTCGGGCTTATACTGCCATAACGCTTGTTATCACCCGCGAAATCTCTTTTGTGCTATCAAAGCACCCTGAGGAGCTCAGTAGGCTGGGGCACAGCCCTCTCCTCTTACCTGGAGGTGGATATGCCTGGGACCACCAGCCCCATCCATCTCACACAGTTTCCCTCGGATCCGTGGGGTGGCTGCACACACACAGTCTTTCTGCTGATGAGAAGAGAGGATTTCCTTTAAAGTTCTTCCTTCACACAGCGAGTTCTCTGTCCTTTCTTTAGGTGCTCTCAGTACTACCCAGGCTATTCTTACTCCTCCTCTGGGGCCAGAGGACGTGACCTGTTTTCACTTTCTCTTCTCTCATCTTTCTCCCCCTCCCATAAGACTGCAGTGTGCTCCCTTTACATTACTCCAAGGCGAAAAACAGCCCACTCTGGCTCACCTTGTGATTCCTCAGACCACATCCCTCCTAGATGCTCCATCTGTACTCCGTGCATTCAGATCTGTCGCACTGCAGGGTCACCTCCTTTGTGTGTCACATTGTCCCCTTGGCCAGGGTGCATTCGTGCTTTAATGTAAAGGCTGTTCTCCGTGAACTGTAAAGACCTAGAAGTTACTTATGGGCAAAAGTTATTTCCTGTCATCAAAAGCAAATGTATTTCATGCCTATCCCTACTGCTGAAAAAAGCCCAGAAATCAGTTTTCCAAGCATAAGAATGTGTAATAGAGCAATTATGGGCATTCCCCCAAAGCTGCATTTATGAAAAACCTCCCATGAGGAATGTTTCATGTATTTGACTTGGAAATGCTTTTATTTTTATAAATTCCTTTTTTGGAAAAGTGATGCAATACTATCCATAACGCATAGCATTGCTTTGAGAGGTCGTGTTCTGCAGCCAGCATTGCTGCTGCTTGTGAGGGGAAGGCAGTGTGAGCAAACTTTCTTGGTGACATTCACAGCTTTGTGAAAAAAAGACATTTAAACTGATGATTTTTTTTAAGATTTAATTTGGAAAAAACCCTAAGATGTAATTAAATCTGGTCACAACATTTCTGTGATTGAAGTGATGGATAACAGATAGGTTATGCTTATCCCTGATGTAACAGCATTGTAGCAAACACTCCCTTTATTGCATTACAGATGATATATCAAGCAATGTTAGTCATTCACATGAATAACTCTGGTCTGATTGAGTTTCATTCCTTATTAGGGAGAGTTCCACAGTGCAGAGTGTTGTACCAGTAATACAACACAGAAATTGCTTCTAGCATGTGGAACATGCAATTATAATAAGCAAATATTTAACTCAAACCATGCTCTTGGGATCACAATGTCAATAAGAGATATAAAAAAACTAATTGTTTCATCAGCCTGAGGCACAGGAGAAGGGGCTGGAGCCAAGGTGGGCTGCCAGGGCTGCCCCGTGCATAAAGCTCAGCTCATGGGAAGGTGATGATTAAGCTGATCATAAATGCAGGCTGGAATTTGTTTTATGATCAAGACATTGAACACCAAATTAATAAGCATCAAGTTATGACAGTAATAAATGGCAATGGCGTGGGAATGGCAGAAGAAGCAGCTTGAACCGTCAGGCAGCTGCTTGCACACAGGTTTAACTGCTGCCTGGCTGTTGCTCTGGGAAGGAAAAACAATTTTTTTGTGACTTCCCCCTTAATAGCCCTTCAAGGGCTTGGGACAGTCGAGACCCAAAGAAGCCCCAACACAAAATTAAGCTAAGAGACAGATTTCTGTTCCTTCAGAGCCTTCTGCCTTTCCCGGTGAGCTGACTGCAACGTGCTACTATTCATCAGTATTTTCATTCAGGAGACAGACTCATGAACTCTCATTTTCTATGGGAGATTTCTTCTGGGGCTGGCGTTGCCAAGCAGTGATTAGATAAGATGATACCCTGGGAAATTCAAGATGGAATAAAAGCCCAAGCGGGTACGCAGCTGAGCTGCAATGCTATCAGTCCTTATTGAAGGGGCCTTCAACTGGGACTTTCAGAGGGGCTCTTTTAAAAGCACCAGCTCTCTAATGAAGCTTAATGGTTTTGAATGGACGGTACCTCGCAGCAGAAGCTGCTTAGATGCTTAATAATGGCATAATCATCTTCTGTCAGCCATTTGGTTGGCACAGAATGCTTACGCCCGCATTGTTCCATTTAAGATAGATATATTTACGTTTATTGACTTCATATGCTTTCATATCATATCCCTCTACATGTATCACAATATTCTTTGTTCTGAAGGTGGGACTGCAGAGATTCAGATCAACTAACATCATGGGAAATTTAAGGTGAACCAGAGCCAGTGTGCCTGATAGAAGTAGAACTGAGTTTGGTTGCCCCAGTTCCAGTGTTCTTTTATGGAAATCTGCTATCTCATCAGGAACCTCTTATCATCACTTTGAAAGAGTTTGTGTGTCAGGATGAATTGAGTCATTAATTGCAAATACATCAGTGAATACAAGATGTATATGAATGCATGTGAAAACTGTTGAAGGAATGAAAAGGACAGATAAAGTGAGGCAGCGTAACAATGAAAAACATTGAATAGGAAAAGTAAGAACAGAAGATGCTTAAAAAAAAAGAAAAAAAAGAAATGGTTTTAAAGAAAAGGCAACTATCATATACAGAAAGGGAAAAGGCAAGAGTCAGAAATAGATGTGAGATATTCCCTATGCTTTTAAACACACCAGTTACAGAAATCTGCCATAAGATGACATTACATTGCATTATATTATTAAGCACATAGATTTTATGGGGCTCTCACTCCCAACACCTGATGTAGAACGTAAGTTCCAAGCACAGCACTGTGCAGTGGAATTGCAGGATAAGGACCATTGGGAAGATACGCTCTTTCAGACCTTCAGGTACTACTGGATTTATTTCACATTTCTGAATGGATTGTGTGAAAGCAAATTAAAAACATAAGGAAAGTATGTGGCACAAGTAATGGGATATTCAGCTGGGTAAAAGCACTGTTGGATCCCCTGCTACTCTACCAGTGGCTTTGATGGTGATGTAATCTCAAAGAAAGCACTGAATCATGCTATCAATTAACTTGAGTAGCAATGTATATACATAGGAAGTGTTGCATATTAGACAAATTTTAGTGTACTGTGAAAAAATTGGTGAAGTGATTGGAAGATCTCTCTTAATTAGCCATACATCTTTTTGAACATTCACCTACAGAGAACCAAGGACAGTGTTAGCAACAATGTGATACAAAATAATTAGCTTGTTTTCAGGGCTTAAATAGTCATTACTTTCTTGTGAAGTCCCTAATTAAGCTAATCCTAGTTTATAATACATTAGCAACCACTCTTTATGTGGAAGCTACTTCTCAGAGGATAAAAATAACTTCAAAGTTTGAAATGCTCAAAACTGTATGCAAAATTGTAGAGCTTGGGACAGGAGCAATATAGATGAAGAAATTCCTGATTTATTCCTTGCTGCCCACGTGCTGTTTGTTCACCTGAAGGCTGCAGATATAACTGTTTAAAGGCTCCAGTGAAACAATTCCCCCCTTTCTGCTTTGAAAGCCTGTTACCACGGTTTTCGTAGGAGGTCCTGCTATAGCGTTGCCCAATTATTTCCTAAGAACCACAAAGATATTCTTTCTTACTGACTCATGCTCTAATAGATGAAGGACTCATTGGCAGTTTGATATTTGACTTCAGTCAAAGGAAAAGAGCTGATAATATGAAGTTAGCAACACAAAGCACAAAGCCTGGGCTGCAGGACACAGTGGGCTCTGACCCTTATCCACAGAGAAAAAAATGAAACTGAAGAGGTAGAATTAAGCTCTGTTTTGGGACTGGGAGGCCTGCACCTAGCTGTTGCCATTTGGTCACAGTGGGCAGAATTAGCATCTTCTTCAGCTTCGTGCTTTGCTTGCTGATTTGCCCACGGTCAAGTGGAGGCAACGTTGAGTTACAAAGCCTCAAAGACGTGCAGGAGTAAGTTCATATGCAAGGTGATGGAATCAGCTGACATGGCAAAACCCAGCACCACGTGGCCTCTCAGCTGAAAGGAATGATTGATTGAAAAATTTACTGAGAACTTGGCCAGTGAATTCTGCAAAGAGATCAACTTGAAGCAGGGAAGGCTGGCTCTCCCTACTTCTCAGAATTACTGCAACAAGGAACCACGTCTCCCATTTAAAAACAGAGCGGAACCTCTCACTTAAATAATTTGTAGAAGCTTTGCTATCAGCTTATGCTCAGAAACGAAAATCTGGGAAAGATAACCACAGCGAGCACAAAAACGCCTGAGATCGACTTTATATATAGCAAGCTGCAGGATTTCTACAGAACTATTTATCCAAACATCTCACTGAAACGTGGGGCTGCCTCACCACATCATGTAATATTCTGTCTGTTCCCCCTGCACTTTCATTCCTGGTACGGTATCAATATTTCACAAACTCTTCTTACACGGGCTGTTTAATGTGTTGTAAGAGAAAAACCATACACAGTACGCATAACAGAAAGAGATTTCCTGCCAAAGATATTTAACAGACCTATGCAACCTAGCAAGAGGCATAAGGCAAAACACAGGGAAGCGCAGTACAAATGATGTGATAACTGTGTGCAGCGATGTGGCCATGTATATATATAGAGAGAGCTTATTTTGAATCACCCTCTGCTCTGTAAGTCAGTGCTAGAGCTCCTGAACAGCTGGAGCTCAGCTCCTCGAGTCTGCCCAGCTGGAATTTAAATAGTCCTCATTACACATGTACATGCCCACTGCCTCATGCTTTTTTGCCTTTTTTTTTTTAAATGAACAGAGCACACTGAAGTTAGAAAAGATTAAGCAGAATTAAACATGGATGCCATTTTGCAGAGGCATTTCTCAGAAGACATGATTTTTATTCGTTTTTTTCCTCCAGATTCTCCTTTAGCTGCATTAGATCTGACTGCAAATGACAAGCTGTACACAGGAACCAGGCATTTATATCCCTATCATCACTTATTAACTGTTGATATTGTTGCTGACAGCATAGTGATAATAATAGGGATTCTTTCAACACTTGGCCTCAAGATGTAGGAGTTTATGACATTCAAAAACATCTCAATGGAGCTGACAGGTGAAGGCACGTTCAGAGGCAATTCACACCAGGAGCAGTATGTAAGTGCCAAACAAAGCTGACTGTGACCTTGAGAAGTCTTTGCCAGCCCTTAGGAGCCGACTTAGGCATTCAGAAGCAAAGTCATTTTCTCTTAATAAGGTATCACTGTCTCCATCTGTAAATCACTCTACAGTGTCAGCATGTTGTAATCCGTGTAGCAAAATGACTAATAGGAAATAATAATGTTGCAATAGAGAGTGTAAGGAGAGCTGTGATTGAGTGAAAAACACACTACTGGAAAGCCAGCTGTTCCCACTTCCCTGACTAATTGAAGGCATGAAGTGAACGCACTGATGTGCTGATTTCCTCCAACTTGCATAAGATGTGAGGTTCTTCGAAGAGGCAGTAGGATCCTGAAGGGCTCAAGCCCAAATAATGGAAAATACCTTCAGCTTCCAAAATTATTGCTTTAGAGACAACCGGATGTGAGCTTTTCAGCAAATACATCATCTGCAATGCA